GTTAAGTGCGCACGTTCCGCTTCGGCAGCCCGGGGTTTGCCAGCTCAGATCTCGGGTGCGGACATGGCACTGCTTGGCAAGCCATGCTGTGGTAGGCATCCCACAAATAAAGTAGAGGAAGATGGGCACGGATGTTAGCTTAGGGCCAGTCTTCCTCAGCAAAAAGAGGAGGATTGGCAGTAGATGTTAGCTCATGGCTAATCTTCCTCAAAAAAAAAAAAAGATTTCAAATTCTCGATTGTTCATAGAAACAAAACTTGAAAAATTTTAATTTAATCATCAGATGTGCCCTACCTGCTATTTTCCTCGATCACCCAGATCCTATCCATAGTAAAACTAATGAACATAGAAATTGGGCTGGATAACAGTGTATTTGAATTGAATTATGTCAATTTTTTGACAGACTTGAAATTTTTATGAATATTGTTTACATTTAAGAAATGAATATTTAATATATTTGAAATCTTGAATTTTGAGAAATCTTAATTAAATAATTTTTTAAATGAATGCTCAAGTAGCAATTCTATGCTTTTGGTCAATAACAGTTAAGCCATAACGAAATCATTTGTAGGAAAGAAACTAATTTAAAAACACTCCAAAGATTTCAATTATGCTGCCTGTAAATGGCAAACATAAGTATGCAGAATCACAAAAACTGTGACTTTCCTCACTAAGAAAACTGAGACGGCATACTTACACACACACGAACCAACTGGCATTTCCTAGCCCATGGCGTCTGTTTTAAATAGAAGAAAATGAAATAATATGGTACACAAAAAAATACATAAACATTTGTTCCAGGGAAATGGAAAAAACTAACACACTCCAGTTCAATTTCTTGACCTTCTTTAACGCTTTCCTTATTTTAAGTGAGTCTAAAACACAAAATACGATTATTAGGTCAAATTGCAACTGGTACATTAGCAGGGGTTTGGAGGGAATGAGTTAAACCTAAAGATGCTCAAACCAGTTCAGGGAAGTGAATCAGAAGAGCTATTAATATGATTATTCACTAAAAGCTCACACTAAAGTTCGCTGATCTCTTACAAATGTTAGGAACTATGTTCAACACACTCAGCATCTCATTTAGCCCTCAAAACAAAACAAAAACAACCCTGCTGAAAGTCTATTCTCATTCTCACTTGACAGATAAGGAAAAGGAGGCTTGAGAGTTAAGTAACTTGCCCAGGTTCACACAGCTGGCTCTCCAAATAAATGTGGGACTCACAATGCAAAGCTATACCAGAAGACCCTATAGAGACACCACCTGCCCAGAAGGAGCAGCAGGCACATGAAAACCTCAGGTTCTGGTTTATGAGACCTCGCACAAGAGCTAAGCTTTGAGCATTACTGTGTTCCTAAACTAGAAGATAATTTAAATTCAGTTTTGCTATGGAAACTAATCAAGGAAAACCCTTTGAAAACTAACAACGCAAAAACCTGTCACCCAGAATTTTAAAAGGTATTTCTTTAATGTGAAGCAAATTTCAGACTTCCCAAAGTAACAAGACAATACTGCAAAGTTTCCTGAAGCTTTGGATCCTCAAATCCTTAAACATTCAGCTGCTCCTGAGCTAAAAAGAGATCCGAAAGGAAACAATAATATCACTCTTGAAGAGTTGATCTTCAAAAGTCAATTAAGAGTCTCGTGATCTGAAAGTGCTGGAGTCTCAGTTTTCCCATTTGTAAAATGAGAATACCATGCACCTCACAAACGAGAAGCAAAGACTAAACGAGAAAATGTAATATAAAGCAAGGATCACAGGACTTGAAACACAATGAACGGTAGTAAGGATGCTACGAAGGGGATGACCTCTGCCTGGAATGCTCTCCAAACCTTGTCACCACCTACACCCACCTCAGTGGCAATAGGATGGTCTTCGCAATAAATAATGCTGGCGTAATTACATACCTGTACAGAAAGTTGAACTCTCACGCCATACACAAAAATTAATTTGAAATGGATCATAATAAATATAAACTAGGAGAGTAAGACAATAAAGTTTTATCTAAAAGAAAACAAAGGACATTATTTTTAAGACCTTGGAGCAAGCAAGATTCTTCAAGAGGACAGAAAAGCAGCATCTATTAAAAAAAAACAGTGACATACTAGACTAGCTTTCATTAAATTTAAAAATTTCTGTTCAATTAAAAAAAAAGGCATTAAGAGAGTGACAAGGCAAGCCTTAGGCCAAAAGAAGTTATATGCAACATGTATATCCAAAAAAATGACTCCCTCTGGAATATATAATAAACTACAAATCAATCAGAAAAACACAAATTACCCAATACAAAAAGGAGAAATGGACTTGAAGCGTCACTTCACAAAAGAGTATACGAAAACGCACTCAACTCATTCAACACAGAGAAACGCAAATTAAAACCACAATGATACCACTAGTGTGGCTGAAAGTGGTAAGATAGACAACACTTGGTAAGTATTAGCAAAAATGTGAAGCAACTGGATTTCACATGCATTGCTGACAGAAGAGTAAAATGGCACAAACACTTTAGAACACTTTTTGGCAATTTTTAATAAAGTAAAACTTAATACCTACCCTAAGACCCAGCAATTCTCCTCCTGAGTATTTACTCAAGAGAAATGAAAAGATATGTCCACAAAACACACTTGTACAGGAATCTTCAAGGAGCTTTATCGTAGCAGCTAAAAACTAGAAACGACTCACAAGTCCATCGACAGTAGAATGGACGAATAAACTGTGGCACATCCATACAACGGAACACTGCACAGAAGGACCACACTACGGACCACCATTCCACACGACAAAGCAAACACAATGAAGCTAAAGGAAGCCAGACACGCACAATTCTTTCAAGAAATATGAAGTGCGACTGGGAAGAGTGAAGAGGGAATCCTCTAGTGTGCCAGAAATGCTCTATATCTTGATCTTGGTAGTAGTTACACATGTGTTGTGTATATAAAAATTCATCAAGCTGTACACTTAAGATATATGCATTTTATTATACGTAAGTTATATCTCAAGTGAAAAATTTTAAGTATTTTACACACAATTAAGCCAAGAACAACCACCAAAGCTAATGTTTTCAGGACTATTCCTTTACGTCTGGTTTTAATAAGAAAACTCTCTAGCAAGACACAATAAAAACTGAAATATAATAATATACATGGTAGTATCTGACCTAATTTTTAGGTTACTGAAAAGTTAGCTGTGCATTTATAAATCTAAATTTGTCATGCTTCTAGTGTACCAAAAAAAAAAAAGGAAAAAATTACTCTATTTCCTTAAAAAGCAAGACATTTGAACACCAGATAAGATTTTTTTACAAAAGTTCCAATGTCCATGGGCCTAGGCTTTACATTTCCATAATCAAAATACAAAGAAGCAAAAAAAAGAATCACGAAAACAAAACATTACTTCCTGCTTTTATGACAAATTAATACATTCTCCATGGCAAATCATTTATCCTCACCCATAAAATGCAGAAAGTAAGATTACCTCTAAGGGCTTTTTTTAGTTCAAGGACTCCACGATTCTGACATTCAACTAACCAAAAACTCTGATCAGCTCCCTAAATGCCTTCCAAAATAAAAGACAAATCTTTGGTCTGGCATTTAAGGCCCCACATCAACACTAGGTTCATGCTGACCTTTTCAATCTTTTCTCACACTGGCCCTATGTAAAACCCACACAGCTTCCTTTCTCCTTGTTTTGGTTCATGTGACTTCCTCCATGTAAAATAGCCCTCTCCTAACATTCTCTGTTGTATTAGCCTACGAAAATCTTTGTTAGCTCTAAATGTGTTCATCCATTCACGTGGTTATTGAGAATCTTTTCCATGTAAGGCATAAAGCTGGACAACTGTTGAGGACAAAGAAACAAGACATGGTTCCAACCAGGATGTGGGCACGCAAAGAGCTAATCCTAACACAAGTCAGAATACAGTAATTAGCAAAGTGGTCAGTTCATGTCGTAATAAAAACAAAAAAACAAAAATCAATTAAGCCTTAGACCCAGCTGAAACCCTCCCTCCTTCAACTTTCCTTATTTTATTCCCAATCAGATCGTTTTCCCTGACTGTTCTCACTCACCAAAGATTGTTCGCTATCAATCACCCATAATATCATTTCTGCGTTCTCCCTTTTATTCCCCAATACATATGGAACTTGAGAGAAGACTTTTTTCTGCACATTTTTAATATCCACTAAACTTTCCTTAAACACTAAATACATACTATTCAAACAATGATTTTAAAATCTGCTTTTCAAAAGTGAAGAACTCCCATATTTTACCTAATAACCGTAATAGCCAAAGTGGTTACAATAAAAAGTAAGAATTAAAAGAAGTTGCACCTCATTAGAAATTTCTGTTGAGAATTTCATAGAAAATTAGCCAAGAATTAAATTTCTTGAGAAGCTGAATTTATTCTTTCAAGAATTTTAGACTAATTTTTTATAAGGAAAAAATTTGACTAATTTTCCTTTAGAAAAAGTTTCCCTAAATACTCCTATATTAACCTGAAATACAAATAAACGTTGATACTTGAACTATCATATACTTAAAAAACAAAATTCAATGTACCCTGTGCCTAAACACACTCAATTATCCCATAGCCACCAGAGTATCTATGAACATAAGTACCCGTCTCGTAGCTGACATATTTTGAGCAAGCAACACTTCTGTAACTATAATGTCAGGGAAAGATTAATATCCATGTTTCAGGCTTAACCTATCAACAATTATTTGTATTTTGTTATAAATAGTTATATTCTAGGAGCATGTGACTATTCAATGGCATAACTGAACTCATGTAAGCACCATAACCTAGTATGAATTAGCCTGTTATCTGAACACTTTTAAAACACTACCATTAAAAAACAGCTAGCTGTAAGCTTTCCAAGCAAGCTAAACGCAAATTTAAAATCCTTAATTTTAAAAACTTAAATTCATTGTCTTATGTAAGACAATTCAAAATCTATCTTATCAGCTTTATTTTTGATAAATAAAAATAAACTGTACCTGGTTACTACCATGGCCAAAAGGAGTACTAGATAAATTAGTGGTTACACTGTGCAAAATAATTTCACCACTGAGAGATCCAGAAGCAATGTAGCAATCATTCCAATTATATGTTACACAAGTTACTTCATCTTTATGATCCTGAAAGAAAGAAATGAAAGTAAGTACAGTGCCACATAACCATCAAACAGCACGTGTTCATGTCTTTGTAAAGTTCATGTTTTGTAAATATTATATATTTGTCAATCTAATATTTGCTTTAACATTTTCCTCAAATAACCTAAAAAAAATTACTCAAACGAGCAGGAAACTATCTGATCAACACCAAGTCTTCTTAGGGAACAGAGGTTTATTTTTCATAACTATAATAATGATCAGGCACTCTTAAAACAAGAGACAGAAAGGAAAGGTAATTTTCTAAATGGCATTATGTCTACTTTCAAGAATTCATTTCCACTGACAAGTAACATTTATTGTAAGTTGACTATTATGAGAGTCCCTGCCCTTGAGAGTATTACTGTTCAACTGAGAAGACAGGACATTTAAATTAACATGAAAATGGCAGAATGAACGCTAAATGAGTGGCAGAGGCAAAGGGTCAGAGGAAAGAGAAGAGGCATCGCTGCGAACTGAGCCAACACAGGAAGCCTTATGGGAGACCTAAAGCTTGAGTTCAACCTTAAAGGATGAGTTAGGGAGAGAGGAAGAAACTAGACGCTGCAAAATGGAAGAGAGAAAAAAACAAAAGCCCCGAAGCCAGATGGAGCCACACTTGTTTGAGAGTTGACAGCAGCTGCTTCCATTTGCTGAGTACCTACTAGTGCTGGGAGCTTTACATATTACTATTAATCCTAAGGAGGATCCTGGGAGGCAAGGTCTTTTTTCTCATTTTGTTAACTAAAGGAGGCACAGAAAAGTCAAGAAACCTGTGCAAGCTCACATAAGTGCTAAGTAGTAGAGCCAGGATTCAATTCCAGGTCAAACTCCAAAGCTTGTTTTCTTCCCACTATACTAGGCTGTCTCCCAAATCCAAGGGGGAATCCACTTGGAGGAAATAAAACTGTTTGGTTTTGAACAAACTGAGTTCACAAGGACTATGTTTTCCAATGTCAAATTAGAGCTATCTAGCAGGAGCATACAAAAGTGATCAGGATTGGGGTAAACTTTTTAACAGTTTGGTGTCATATCTTGAAAATATAAACAAACTAACCTTTGTATCTAATAATTTGATTAATGTAGTATCAAGCATAGTAATATAATATCAAAGTAACGCAACATCAAAGAAGTAAGTGCTATCCTGAGGAAAAAATGTCTCATGGGGAGAAAAGAAAGAGCGGACATTTAGTGTATCATTCCCATTTGAGAAATTAAGAATGTGGGGTCCAAAACAATTTCTATGACTTTGTAAAGAGGCAGGTGTCTTCCTTATTTCAACTGTGGAAAATAAGTCATTCAGTAAACATTTACTAAACACCTACCAAGTGCCAGAAACTGTGTTATTACCAGGCAGAGAACCACAGAGGAAGGACCCAAAGGCGAAAGATTAGTTCCCCACTATCAAAATTAGTTAGTCAAATACTTGTTAACTGAACAAATGAAGCACTCTAAGAATTTCAAATAGTGAGAAAAGAAAAACTATCTGCAGTAATTGGGAAAGTTGAGGACGGAAAGATGAGCAGAAGTTTGCCATGCAGTAAGGAGGGATGGGAAGAAGTGAAGCCCCTAAAATGAGTGACAATATGGGACAAAACTGGCCATAGACTTCTAATCTCTTCTCCGTTCTGTAAGACACTCTATTCACCGTGAGTATATCCCTCTAAATAGCTTTAATTCAATTATTTCATAATTTAAAAGATTAAACAATGAATAATATCTGAGTTTGCATCTCATCTTTGCCATTGCTATTTGACACTGAACAAGTTCTTTAACATGTCTGAGCCGGAGTTTCTCTGTCTGTACTTAGGAATAATACCACCTGCTTTGCAGAGTTGTGGAGATAAATAGAATAAACGTTATGTTAAGCATAGCGGCCAGCATATCAAAGAACTCAATAAAAGTTAACTATTCTCATTATTGGCAACTTTTCAATTTTCCTGAAGACTCTTCAAAGTTTAGCTGATACCTAAAATAAGGAACTTCCAAAGGTAATACTTTAAATACCAATTATAGAATTATATTTCAACTTAGCTAAGAAAAAAAATTCTTCTAGTCCACAGCTCTAGTAAGAATGAACTCAATGACACTGAGATACAGTGTAACAAAATAATGATCTATGACACTTGCTTGAAAATATTCTGAGGGTCTGAGGATTAGAGAGTAGAAGCGGGCATAGACAAAACAATACTGTCCATGAGCTGATCATTATTAACGTCAGATGATGAATACAGAAGTGATGGGTTAAAGGAAGTTCTTTCTCTGTGTACAGGCATGCGTGTGTACATACACAAATATGTTTAAAATTTTTCATATTAAAACTTTTTAAAAAGATGTAAAAATTATAAATAAAGATGAACTTCCAAATATTAAAAGAACATAATAATGAAAAGCAATAAAGAATTCCAAAAGAATCCCACAACCAGAGGCTTTTCTGTGATGATTATTTTTATTTTCTGAAACTGCAAAAAGCTATTCAAAGAAATACTAATTACAAATAGTAAGTTATTTTAGAAAGTATTTCATTACCAAGATGCAAATACACACACAAAAATAACACAAACAGTAGTAGAGAACTAAGAAGCCAAACCCCCAATTCTGATTACTAAATCAAATACTGTCATCCCAAAATCACATTTCTTTTACAAAGTGCCTTAAAAAAAGATCTCTGACGACAACCAACCATGCTTTAGAGAAAATGAAGCAAGTGGTTCACTCAAACAAGAGTAGAGCTAAGTGAAAAAATAAGGAAAAAGTTTTAAACATCAATAACATGCATTGGTGACAAACATGGAGGGAAAAATAGACGAAAAAAATTAAGTTTTGGGCTAGCAGCATCTTTATTTACCCTAACGAATCTCACTTCAATTATTAAGTATCTTATTTTTATCATAATAGCTCAAAATTAAAAGAAAAGTTTGACGACTACTCTAAACACATTGTGAGATACCCATTTCTGTAAGGATTAAAAAAAAAATTTCCTTACCTTAAGAGATCGATGAACTCTTTTTGATTTTAAATCCCAAATATTAACAGTGTTATTTAGGCCTCCGCTTACCAAATACATAGATGTAGAATTTAAACTGACGCATGTCTGCTTTTGCTATTAAAGAAAAAATAGTTACCTTAATTTAGTAGAGCCCAGAGACGACTTTCAAGTCTCATCCAACACTTAGTAAGCACTTGAAAAATATTCGTTAAATTAATGCTATAAACACGCTAATACTTGTACTAAAAGATTCACCTCTCATCATCTTCCACATGGATCCAACAGCTTATAAGGGGTTCAAAAAGAATTCAAGGAAATCAGCCAGATTCATGTTCTCTCCCACGGAACAGGCGACGGAGGAAGCTTAGGACACTCGTCCTGCCTTAGGTGAGCAAGTCTTGGCCTCCCGTCAGGGCTTGGCTGCCCTTAATATCGCCCTTTAATAAAAAACCGGCTCTTGCACTTCCACAGGATATCTTAAATTAAAATCAACCCACAGCTCAGAAAATGCTAAAGGTAGAGGGGATATTAAAGAATATCTAGTTGACCCCTCAATTTACAGATGCGGAAAGTTTTATCAAGAGGACAAGATGCCCAAGTCTCACAGCAAACCTCCCCCTAGGGAGCCCTAGTCTCAAACATCAGATCAACAGAATCTGACCCTACACTCTTCCTCATCTCTGTAAAGACACCATCCATCAAGTTTCTCAAGATAAAAATCCAGAATTACCCTTGATTCCTCCTTCTCCCCACCCCCTAACCTATGAGTAAGTTCTCTAAACTCCGGCCCTAAACTAAATCCCACATGGGTCCCCCTTCCTCTATCGTTACTACAAGCACACTAACCCAAACCTGGCCGAACCACAATAGCAGCCTCCTAACTGGCTGTCCTGCTTCCCTACGTGCTGCGCTCTGTAAGCAGGGTGACCTTTAAAAAATGTAAATCAGATAACGTGTCTCCCATTTAAAAATCTTCAATGGCTTCCAATCATACCTAGAATGAATTCCAAACTCATTAACCTGGCTTTCTAAGCCCTGTTCACCTGGCCCTATCCTACCTAGTCTCTCACCATTTTCCTCCTCATCCACTAACTCTCCACCCACACTGACCATCTTCCAGTCCTTAAACATAACAACCCTGTATTTGCCTCAACGCTTCTACACAGCGATTCTTGTCTGGGAAGCTAAATTCCCCGAACCTTGGCTGAATGGCTTCTTCTGGTCCACAGATATCAACTGGAATGCCACCTCTTCAGGAGACCTCCCTTGGCCACCAAAGGTAACTTGCTATCTCAATATCTTACTTTAGTTCTCTGCATAACAACCTATAACTACATGGGTATTCTGTTTACTAGTTTATTGACTGCCCCCCACCACAATGTCAGTCCCATTAGTGCAAAGACCACATCCATGCCCAAAAAATATTTACAGAATAAATGGCTAAAAACACAAAGGTTATCAAGTTGTCCTCAGAGTAAGTACCTATGAGTGTCATCTATCTGGTGGTACCACCAGTAACTATGCTACACAGAACACAACGTTGCATGTTTTTTCCTATTTAACCTTCAGATACATTATGTAGTTACAATAACTGTTCTCACCTCCAGCTGAATGCCATGGGGAAAAACACAGAGAAATGAATTCCAAAGAGGACACTGTGTGACTCAGTTAAAAGTTACAACGCAAGCTATGTAGTATTAGGCACATCATCCCACCTTTCTGAGCCTGCATTTCTTCATCTGAGAAATCAAAGATGAGGACTAGATCCACTGTCTTATCTTGAGAGTCATGCATCTCAAAAACATCCTCTGTTCAAGAGAGCACCAGATTCTTAAAAGGGTGCCGCTGGGCCCTCCTTGCCCTCCCCCAAGGTTTCTTCTAGCTCTACAATTCTGACCAAGAATCAAAATTACTAACACATATAAAAATAGCAGGAGCACCTTACATCAATGTTTCAATATAGTTGCCATAATTTCCCTGCAGGCACCACTCTAGGAATTGACTTTGATTTAAACAGATTAATAAGATTTAGAATCTGGTTATCACTGAAAATCAGAACAGTGTGCTAACAGCTATCAAAATAACCTTTAAAGAAAATAGATAAGAATGGCATCTATCAAAGATCAATATTAGGATTCTTATCGTCAAAAACAACTTAAATTATTCCTAAGGGCTCAGAGCAAAACCTATACTTATAGCTGGCTTACCTTAATGATAGATCTTTTTTTTTAAGTGAACGTATTATTAATGTAGCTAACGAACCTAAATAATTAATGGAAATTGTGAGGTATTATAGGAATCCTGTACCCCAAGATACAAGCAATGGGTGGAATTTTTAAAATCTAATGATAACACCTGGTCAAATTTCTAGGATGTAGTAGCCTACCACAGCCATTGTAATACTGTTAAAACTGATCTGTCTACTTTAAAGAGGTAAGATACAAAATCAAAGAAAATAAATATGAACTTAAAGTTCCACCCTAAAGATAATGTTAAAGTAAGTAGGATAGAATCTTACTTTTCCAAGTAGGAAAGGTCCAATACCTCAAATGGCACATGATTAACAGGACTTGGATGCTACAAACCAAAGGTCATCAACATACTAACATTTTACAAGAAATTACTAATAAAGGCTAAAGAACCAATGCTGGCAAAATATTTGCATAAGTAAATTAAAGTAAAGCAGATTCAAATTATTATATAATGACTTCTCATCCACCTGCACTCTGATGTGACTTCTTAACTGTGGGAAAGAGAACCACCCATAGCAACTACCGTGGTATGGAATATTCACAAAATCCTTAGAGTGGTGTCACACTTGTGAATATCATCTATTGCGGGTTTTTTGTTTTTTGGGTTATTTTGGTGAGGAAGATGGCCCTGAGTGAACATCTGTTGCCAATCTTCCTCTTTTTGCTTGAGGAAGATTGTCCCTGAGCTAACATCTGTGCCAATCTTCCTCTCTTTTGTATGTGGGACGCCACCACAGCATGGCTGATGAGTGCTGTGTAGGTCCGTGCCTGGGATCCAAACTCACAAACCCTGGGCCACAGAAGCAGAGCATGAGAACTTAACCACTACACCACCAGCAGCCCTTATCATCTGTCATTTTTAACATTAACAACAACAAAAAAAGGTCCCAAACTGGTTCTAAGGCATAATGCATAAAAGTAGTATGTGTATGTGTGTGTGTGTGTATATAGTGATAGACGTGGAAATTGAAATTGTTTTGATGTTGATATTTAATTCAACAAATGTTTGTTGACCACCTTTCACAGGATCTAAAGATCCAAAGACAGCTCAGACGTTTTGCCTGCTCTTGAAGAGCACAGTTTACCTTTTACTGACTGGGAATCCTCTCTGCCTCAATTTTACTTAACTGAGTTTGAATAGGTAGAGTGCCTCAAATTCCACTTCTGCCCTTAGCAGGCATTCTCTCTGCCCCAGCCTCCAACATCTGTGGGCTGGAATTGATGCTCAGATCAATCCCACTGGACACCCTTAGGAAAGAACTGATAGAAAAAGTCCTTTTTAAATTAGATGAGCTTATATTCCATTGTCCTGCTGTTTCTTTTGAATTGGGCTGCCTTTCCCATTTCAGTGTGTAAAATTATGACAATTCACAATGATTTAGGGTCTACCATGAAAACTCTGAATTTTTTTTAAAAAGAACAAGCTACCAACTACTTGTACCTTTCTATTTAGACCTTATTTTAAAAAGAAAGAGCTTTTAAAGAGTGTGTGTGATTAGAAATGAGGAAGCCAGCATTATCCTGAATCACAGGGATTAACTTATAAAACAAAAGGATAAGAAAACAGTAGGTAGTGAGAGCTTCAATTAAACGCTCTGGAATCAAAGCTCATTTTGACAAAGCCATCCTGTTCCAGGAGAGCTTGGGGAAGCTTGGGCAGGCCCCTCGGTACCAGGCAGGCAGAAGCTAAAGCAGAAGACCACCATCAGAGAGGGGTCTTTAGCCGACAGTCCCAAGCCCAACATCAGCAAGGGTAGGGTTACATCATTAGGGCTCTCATGGTCAAGTCAACGTAGTGACGTTGGTGGGACACAGCCCTAAAAAAGGCAGCAATACCAGGGAACCTCCCACAGAGAGGAAATCTAAGTAGTTGATTGCTCCCCTCGGATCCATATTATTTTACCTGAAGATGTTCCAGTAAGCACACTCATCTCACCTCTAAGTGTTATTGTCTTATTTTGAGCTCAGGTTAAGAATAATGCTTTCAAACACCCTTAAAAGTCACAAGCACCATAATAAACAAGCAATTACCATCCAAGGAGAACTAAGAATAAAAAAAGTGTTTTTTAAAAAATCACTTACCCCTTCACCAAGCTCTAAAAGTGGAACAGGTTTACATTTGCAACTTGAAACAACTATTTTGTCGCCACTGGAAGATGCTGTCACTAGAAAGTTATCTAAATGAAGAGTTATGGAGCATCAAACAAGCCATGAGCAGCTCTAGCACTAGGCTATCATTACAAGAACTGTGATAAGAGCAAGCACACTAACCAAGAAGACAAGTAACGAATACAGCCTATACATTAGCTTTCAAAACCGGCTCAGGTTACTAATTGCTAAGACTAATTCTCTTTACTACTACTGCAGGGAAGAGCTAGCCTTTCTGGCTTTGCTGTCACTTGAAAGCTATTTAACCCATGTGAAATACTACTCCACTTTCAAAGAGTCCGCCAGAAGGTCTAATTTTATCCTTTAAGAGTGAGAGGATGATAAAAGCCACATCAGCAAATATCAGCCTTTCATCTATGAAAACTGTTCAAGACAGTTCTTTATTAACGCGGTGCTTGGTACCAATTTAAGCTAGGAAGCAAATATCCACATTAGTCTCCTAGTTTTCCACTAGAAAAGTAGACTGATATTTTCTCAGGACTGGAATTTTTGTGACAGAGAGTGCCGATCATAAATGTATTAAGAATATTACAGTAAATACAGCAAATATAAATAAGTGTGGATTAATAGCAGCTATTTATCTTATGGAAGACTTTTATTTTAACTTTCAATCAAATTTAATTTAAATTACTTAAAATATAATTTTAATTATCCTGAAATTTTAATTTAATGTAAAACTATATTTACCTTATTTTACATAAATTTTAAGTGTAAAAATCAGTAAACACAAAATAGCATAGTATTTATTAAACTGTAATTAGTATTAAACTGTTATTAGTGTTAAACAGTATTTATCTTTAAACTGATTAGATTCAATAATATAACCAAGAACAAGTGTCTGATTTTGAGAGTCATAAATTAAAATATCAGAAGTTTAAATCTACGCTTTTTAACAAGCAACTTAGGACTTAGGACGTCCTAACTGCATTACTTTGGGTGATTTGCATAACACTGAGATATTTTGTGAATAGACCATAGATTCTAATTTTATTGTAATACTTGAGTTAAACAAACTAATTTCCACTTAGATATTACAGCATTGAGAACAATAAATCATTTCCCTTTCCTTGGCTTCTTCCTCTGTTTACCGCTACTTTCTCCTTAAATATAGGAAAGCAAGGACTGAAAGAAGATAACAGAGAACATAATCTAGCTACTTCTTTTATTTCTCATGTAGTTTTAGAAGTTGCGAGAAAGTCAGGAACATTATCTAGAGGACCAAAAAACAAAAAATCCCAGAAAACTAATCTCCATGGCAGCTCACCATGAGTTCCATTCTTGGAATCCATGCTGAGTGGACCCCAAGTAGCTGAGTCTGGGAAGTCCTTGTTCTTCAGTAACTAACCCCCACAGAAGGGATCAAGGCCTCATTAGGAATAAGACTATACAAGGGTTTCCAGTGCACATCTACTTGTATAAGAAAACCACCAAGGAATAAGACCAGTTTCCAAAAGTCACACAACACTGCTTCAGTCACACCAGTTTTGTTGACAGGCCATTAAGTGGTTTACCAGCAAATGCCAACTCCTAATAAAACTCCTTGGAATAAAAATAAATCAAAAATAATAAATCTTACTAAGAATTGCTACTCGTCTCTTAAACAGTAACAGGGAAATTAAGCTCTACACACAATAAAAATCTAATATTAGAGAGAAGCAACTTCATATATTTGTCACTCTCTTTTAAAACATTTTCCCCCACTACACATCTGGAGAGCCCTTCAAAAATGTAGTCACTTCACCATGAGTTTGATTAATAGAGTACCAAAGAAATATATTTTGCTATTTTAATACAAAATGAAGGAATGTTGAA